ATATATTTATTAGTCAATAATATATTAACAGAAAAAGCCAACAACATTATCCCACAACACAATAAAAAAATAAATAATAATATCATTTGTAATTATATAATAATATCCAACCAAATTTGAACTAAAATTTAATAAAATAATTATTGCAATGTAAATGTAATAATAAGCCCGCCCCAAATGTTACGCCCGGGCGATAAAAATCCAATATCTTATCTACTGTGTCGACCAGTTCAGTAAATAACTTGTTTTATTCAGAATGTATTATTCAAATCGAAGGTCCGCTCTTACCGTTACTTCGCTGATAAGAATAAATTAAATTGTCCGGTCTTTAGTTATTAGTTAAATGAATTTTTTACCATAAAAACTAGGTTTTCATTACGTACGATTTTCCTAGAATTATAGGTTGCATTAACTGCACCCGTATAGCTATTTTTACGCCAACAATTAACGATTCAGTTTATCCTGAACATCGATATATATTATGTGATTAGAAAAAATCATCGTTCGACAAATTTACAATTGGTTTGTTGTAATTAAATTACATAATCCTTATTATTTTATGGCCTGCACATTACTTGAATTCAACGATATAGACAGTTTACAGTGATGCCAGACATATTATTTGCTTGTTAAAAACGTACACGTCTTAAAAACGAATACTCATCGAACGTCGGTCAAGAATATAGATTTCAAAAACTACTCGCTTTTCAACCACTCACTTTCGAAAACGGTTCGTTTTTTTAGCGATTGTCGAGGATAGCCGCCCAGGTGCGTTTTAATCATCCGCTTCTGCTTCCGGAATTGCCGGTTTAGTCGTTTTAATCTGTCAGATTAAAACAAGAAAACCGACAATTCCGAAGCAGAAGCGGATGATTAAAACCATTGATAAGGCAACGTAAGGATACGTCATATGTATTATTTATGATATACAAAAGTGGGACCGGTAGGCGTGGCTTTTGCACTCACTAAAATGGCGGAAGAACAGAACCGGATTTACAAGTTTTTATTATACCTACTATTTCTGGTTAAGTATCATTATTTGAATTATAAAAAAATTATTTTTCTTTTTATTGACATTGACTTAAAAGGTGGTGGAAGGCCGATGTTATAAAAGAGGGGGATTTAAAAGCTTAAATATGCCCGGTTTTCAGCCGAGATAAATAAAGTAAATGAAAGAAATAAAATATAACTGATTTAATTATCACTCAAGTGGCTATTAAGCAATGGAGAATATATTATAATTTGCAAAATTGCAACTAATCAATGACCTTGATATAACTAACTTGGGGCCGATTCCACCATTGGGTTTAACGAAGTTTAAAATGACATTTTTACATAAAATGTAATTTTAATCTTCAATTAATAGTTTAAACTGTAACACAATGGTAAAATTAACCCTAAAGCGTTGAAATCATTCACAGAAAAAATAAATAATACATTTTTGGTTCACATAAGCGACAAAAGTAAACAGAGTTCGATTTATTGGATCAGTCGTCACACGTTTGCACTAGGGCACATAAATAGCTCAATCTTTAGTTTTTCTATGAGCCCAATGCTTTCTGTCTTTAAATCTTAATCTTAATGCAAGGCTCGCGGAAAATGGCTAATAAGCAATCTCTGTGTAGGTAGATGCACTATTCAGGAAATCAAAATGTGGATTAATCTTACTTGGTCTTGGTACTTTTGTAGATTCAGACTCAAAGGTGTATATATCTTCATGCAAGACATTCACTAAATCAGCGAAGCCACAACCAGCTGAGTGCAGGTGCATTTCTAACAAATGTAAAATATGAAGTGATCTTACTTGAGACCTATAGATCCAATGACGATATTATGGTAGTTGGTTTGAGCTGGGCTTCTCACCATCTGCAGAGATTATGGCTACTTATGTAAAGGCCTACCGTAGTAACACAACATGCACCACAAGCGTGTATGATTGAAAGTCAGACAAAGAATGTGAAGATAAAGTTGAAGTCTCAACCATAGTTAAAGTCACAGATGAAGTTAATGTTAACAGCAAACGAGTTGAAATTGTAGGCTGATGATAAAGGGAGGCCAACATCTAGGTAATAAATGTTTATCGAGTTAGGAAAAGTATCCACTGTAAGTGCTTTTCTTGATCACTAAGGTAAAAACCAGAATATTTCCTAATGCACAATTTCTTCGCTAGGAAAAATAATAAATAAATTTGTGAGAGTACTTCCCAAGTGTTTTTACAAAAGCTCTAAGAACAAAATTGACGAAAATGGCCTAATCCAAGTTCAAATTCTAAAACTTTATCATTAAAGATAAGTATCTTACTGTAAAACAAGTAAAACCCCGTTGTTGACTAAATGGTTAAATAATTCATTACCTACGTGGAAGTAGAATAGGGACTAAAATTTTGCAGAAAAAGCCACTAGAAAAGGTAAACAAAATAGACTGGGGCATATGAACATCAAGCAAATATTGTAAATGAAAATAATGTGTGCTGTGATTAAATAAAAGTGTACAAGGAATAAAGTTTTAATATTTTCTTATCCATATCTAGGAGTGATATTTATTTTTAATACTAGACAAACGGTTATGGTTTTGTTGCTAGTCTCATTAAAAAAAAACTAAGTGAGTATTGATGTTAAACATTTATTATTATAAGAAAATATGCACTATACAAACTTAAATATCATATTCCTGAATTCATTTCAAGCATAAAATGTCCTATGAACAAATATCCAATTCTGCATGGTTACCAAGCTACAAGAGTTTAAATATCAAAAGATATATTAACATAGTAAACAACGTAAAAATGTCCAGTAAATATAATATTACACAGTAATATTTCTGAAATAAAAATTTTAAATCTTTTAGAGATATTAAATAGTAATATTTCAGAAATGTATTCTAGCTTTTTTTCTCTAAAATATTATTAGACTAAAAAAACAGACATTTATAAATATACATGTCTATTTAAAATACACAAAACTCAAATATTGATTCTTAAAACATTATTTCAAAAAATATAAAGGAATCACATAATTTCCAGTCCTTTAAATGCACTAATCTGAAACAAAGTTTTTTTTTATTTATTTATTATGCCCCAAGTAAAGAAACATTTACGATTGTAACAATATAATCATTAAGATCAATTAGAAATTTTATTCTAACTTATCAAGGGATGAAAAACTTCACAAACTGATATTCTACTTTCTAGTATACCTTAGAGTTTAAATCACTTAACTGCACTTTACTCTGCTTTAACATCACTGAACTAACTCAAAAGGCTTGGTTCTCTTGAGTCTTCTTATTAGATTGGCATTGTTGAGGAGTTGGATAATCTCAAGGTTTCCATGTTGGAGCAGTCGTTGTTGGTGACTACTGGAAAATTTTTGTATTCTATTTTCAACAGTCTCCCCTTTAAGGTCCCTAAGAAGATCAGTATTGTGGCAGTACCAGGGTGCATCGACGATGTTCCTTAATACTTTATTCTGGAAACGTTGAATAACTTCGATGTCACTTTTAATGACACATCCCCAAAGCTGGCAAATCGCTTTATTTTCACCAATTCCTTTTAACACACTAATCTGAAACAAACTATAGGTAATTAAAAATGTCTAATAATATTGTTTTAAATTAACCCTAATAAAACAAACAATACTCATGCATACACAAAACATGGAGCTCTACTTTTCAATCAGCTGTAGAAATAATAAATAAAACTGGTGGAAGGACAACCAATGTAGGTTATATTTAAATAGAAATAAGAATATAAAAATGTCTATAAATTTGATAAACGAAATGGCGTACGATTAATGTACTTCTCAAGAAAATGCTTGGAACATATACAGCTGAATTTATAAGGCTCCCAAATATGCTTGTTGACAAACGGTATTCAGGATTTTTTGGAAATTTATAAATATTATTTCGTATGAAAAATAATTCCAATATAGGTAGGCCCAAAAGTTAATAGATTATTTTTTTGCATTTTTAAAAGGATACTTTTACACATTTTATACAAACCTGTAATAATACTGTCCTGTATAATATTTATAATTTTGATACTAACCTATGAAACTTTATTCCAGTCGATTTTTCACAAAAACGTCTATCGCTAGAGCAGGAACGTATAACACATCAAGGCATTATATACTTTATAAGTGTGTAACACTCAAAATTTGCTCAAACACAAATTAAATTCAAATTTAATTACACAAATGACACTAAAAATATAACCTATAAAATTGACAAGTTGCACTCACAGTAATGGCGGACCCGGTCCCACTTTTCGATTACGCATGTCGTATCCCTAGGTTGCCAGATCAATGATTAAAACGCACCTATTAAAAATATTGCGCCAAGATGTAGGCAACACGTAATAAGGGTTCAAAATGGCGGAGTTTTCTATCTCCTTTTAAAAGGCACTCAGAAAGCTGCGCAGTGCGACCATTCTCCGTATAGTAAAAGAAAATCAAAGTATGTGATGCGATCTTTATTATCAGGTTTTTAAATTTCCCGCTGCGTTGTTTGATATCGATGAAAGCGCCACATAGTGGGTCAGATATTAACTGCGATACAGCTGGTCGTTGTTAAGCATTGGCTTCTTATGGGCGTTTCCTATCTTTATCTCCCTTATCTCTGATCAGGTGCGTTTTAATCATCCGCTTCTGCTTCCGGAATTGTCGGTTTAGTCGTTTTAACCTGTCAGATTAAAACAAGAAAACCGACAATTCCGAAGCAGAAGCGGATGATTAAAAATATTGCGCCAAGATGTAGGCAACACGTAATAAGGGATCAAAATGGCGGAGTTTTCTATCTCCTTTTAAAAGGCACTTAGAAAGCTGCGCAATGCGACCATTTTCCGTATAGTAAAAGAAAATCAAAGTATGTGTGCTACCCCCTTAGATATACGAGAACTTCCCACTGGCACCTATTGTTTCACAGATCGTTGGAATGCCTAATAACGTTGTTTTCCTTGACATTTGCTGACACAAACTGATTATGTGACAGTATTTTTTTGGTGAACATCTTTAATATTGTTTTAAAATGACTCTTCGGAGAAATATTCTTCCAAAATCAAGAGGTGAAATGATGTCAACATTAGCGAATATGATTTCGTGTCCTTTAAATTATTATGTTTTTAACTTTGTAGTCCTACCAAGATACTATAAAATGTGGTCTTTTGAATACAATATACATTTTATAATCATTATAATAACGACATTTATGATGTACGCAAATATGATTGCAATGATCTTCTGTGACACGAGCGTAAAAGGAAGGATCCCAAGTGGAACAGTGGTCAAAGACTGGAAATATTGCGAAAAATGTGAAATTTCGGCACCGCCAAGGTCATGGCATTGTAACATTTGTGATGTCTGCATTCTCAAGAGAGACCATCACTGTTTTTTTACCAGTTGTTGCATAGGTTTCCACAATCATAGATATTTCTTCATGTATTTGTTTACCGTCGCTTTCGATGCGTTCTATATGTCTTATTTTAATTTCTACTATTTCTGGGAAAAAGCAACCTTTGAGTATACATGGACATCTTTATTAAAACTACTTTTTCCTTTTATAAGCGTGTTTTTTATGGAGTGGTCTTCTATACACTTTCATTTCATCATTATAATAGAAACTTTTTGTTTCGGTTTAATGGCTGGTTTTCTTTTCTTATGGTGCGGATATCTAATTACAAGAAACATGGTATTGTTTGATAAAAAGCGAGCGATAATATACGAAAGAGGGTTTTTGGAAAACATTAAAGTTGTGTTTGGAGAAAGATGGTATTTTGTTTGGCTTGGACCATGGGTCAAAAGTAGACTGCCTTGTGACGGTATGAATTGGGAAAAATATATGTAGGTAATTGTGGATGTATTATGGAAAATAATAATTAAGTTGTTTTGGGGTAGTTTGTAGTACTCCAACTGAATATGTTCGAAACAAAAATGTATACGTTAAGATAAATGTATGTATTTTTAAAAGGCAGGCACTATAATGTAAATACAAATGAATAAATTTAAAATGTAATTAATTATAAGTGTTTCATTTAATTATGTGGCTAAATACGTTTCTAAAACGTCCATTACCATGGACTTATGTTAATACGTTGTTGACTCGTCCTCTTTACTAAAATAACAGATTTATACATGTTCCGCCAATTCACGTTTCGCCCAGACAGCACACCAAATCCTTTGGATATCTACTGAACATCCCAATATCCACTGAATGTCCAGTCCATGGTGGATATCTATTTTATATCCATGAGATGTAATTTATAGACATGCAAATGTTCATAAATAATAGTAATTATATAGCAAATTATTAAAAAATTACGCCATTGTGCTCGCCATTGTGGCTAATACGACCGTTCAGATATTTAAAATTAATTTTTTTTAAGGTGTATTCAATATCCCATGGACATCCTCTAAATATATCAAAGCTAGGCGCGAAAGCAAACCATGGTGGATATTCACTAGATGTAATTTTTGATTTTGCTTACTAAGTATAGATGGCGATACCACTTTCGCTCGTTGAATATCTACTCATGATCAACTCGCCGTAACTGATTTCGATCGAAATTGGTATCGCAATCAGACTCCATTAGAGACCGGAGTCGAGAATTTCCATTTATTGCTGAAGAGTCCTAATAAGGATGACTTTCTCCTTAGTGGGCAAAATCAAAGGCAGTGTTGAAAATATTTTGAGTGTTGAAAATATTTTTTATCTCTTCTATTTTCTTTCGACATTATTCAATAATCATTGGTTACTTATGAACCTCTACTAAAGATACCCATAAAATATTTTGCTGAATATCTTCTATATCCTGGGATATAGACGGACATTTGGATATCCATATTAGATCCACTGGATATATTGGATATCCACAAATTATATTCTGTGGATATCTCTGGGATTTCTTGTATTGTCTGGAAGGTACCCATTAGATATTTTGCTGGACATAGGACATAGGATATCTTCTATATTCTGGATATAGACGGACATTTGGATATCCATATTAGATCCACGGGATATTTCAGATATCCTGTGGATATATTGGATATCCACAAAAGATATTCTGTGGATATCTCTGGGATTTGGTGTGTTGTCTGGGCGTTGGCCGGGATTTTTTAATTTAATTTTTTGAAATTAATTCTGATGCCTTGGTAGGATTCCCCATTCGACCATTCACTGTTGGGTTCTAATTAACAGTGGTGTTCCAAAAGTGGCGCTGGGAAACAGTAACAAGGCCTATACAGAACACGAGGCTAATAACCGTTGTAGTTGATGCCGACGACACCAAATTAAAAAAAAATATTTTAATACAAAATGTTCGATTCAATTTATCAGTCACATCACCCTGTATATTAATTTCGATATAAAGTTGTATCTAGGCCCCTCCCCGAAATATATTTTTGCTAGAAGGTACCTTACGTCGAGCTAGTTTTCAAAAGAATAATTCAGTTGGTATTAGTACCAGATCCGTGGTAAACCAAAAACCAAGACCAGTCAGCCGATCCTCACTGAATTTTTTGCGATAGAATAATTCGTATTAAAGGTATTATTGCAGTTCGAGTATATCGAAAAAACCCGTTTTTAGTTTTTCTATTAATATCTATGAAAATTAATCCTGTGTTTAAAATCTTTTTCACAATGACGTGGTACCTATAAGATTTTGTTAACAATAAAAATTTCTCTAGAAGACTGAAAACTTTGAATTTCAATTTGTTTTCGTGTGATTAATTAGATACTTTTTTTTTATACAATCAATTGAACCGTTCCGTAATCTCTTCTTTTTAAATATTTAGTTTTCAGTTCAATTAATAAATTAAAAATATTTATCGTAATAAATAAACCGAATTTATTTCATTTTTTATTAATTTGTATCGGGTTTTGTTCTGCGTATTATACGTGGACAATTTAGTTTGTTGAAGCCAAATATCCCAATGTTTATTGAACGGAATTAAATACCATTTGAAATCTAATGTTAGCCGACTATTCAATTACACCAGTTCGATTTTAGGTTTTCACATGTTAGCCGAAAAGTAATGTTTTGTACTTAGATTAGGTGTTAATTTCGCTATGCTGGTAAAAATCAGTATTTAAGTACTGGCTGTAACAAGAAGTGTTTTAATACCTTAGTTCACTGCCATTTTCGCAATATCGCATATCATTGTTTTCCGCGATTCATTTGGGTAATCATTCAGCGGGTTTTATTTTTTTTTATTTTTCAGAAATAATTATTTTCTTTAGTTGTTGATATTGAGTGTGGGCGAGATTGTTTAATTACATCAGCCAGTTTGACGTTAATTTTACGTTAATTTCTTATATCCGTATTAAGTTTGTCCGAGACTACTCATATTTAGGGTTTATATACAACATTCTCGGCCCTAGTGTTAATTCCATTTGTTAAGTTTACATCAATTATAGGTATCTGGGACCTTACATGTTGTCGAATAATTATTAGCTTAGGTTTGGAAATTTGTTACAAGAATTAAGCCTTGCCGTAACAATAGTAATTACTAAATTATTTCCCCTAGTATATTTGGCACTGAATTATTGAGTTATTTATTTTCCCCGATTTATTTTATTTGATTTACTTACACCGTTTGATTGAGTCATTTATTTCCCCCGATTTATTTGAATTGATTTACCGATGCCATGTTATTTCCCCCCACTTTTCCTGATCGAACATTTTTGTTTATTTACTGTGATCAAGGGTTACAAAGGCGTGGGCTTTGAAGTAAAGAAAAAAAAATGTAAATAGTATTCGTAAGCAATATGTATAAATTTTACCTGATTGGCTTATATTGCGGTTCTTAAACCGTGAACACCCGAATTTACCCGAGAATTTACCCCATATCAGCTTAAGGAAATTCTACACCGTATCAATCCGGTTTAAAGTCCGATATCGATACTCTCATTTATAAATTGTCTGTTATCAACGTTGACCCCTGGATTTTTTTCCTTTCGCAAGCTGCATCGAAGGGTTGTGGAGCAAACCCCCAAAATAAAACTGGCGCCCGAGGCATATCCGTTAGTAGGGCGTTAAAAATAAGAATTACTTTCTTTGAGGTAAGAAAGCATCTTACAAAAGCTTCCTTTGGTGATATATAGGGTAGCGCAATAGTCTGTCAACAAGGTATTTTGTTTAAAACGAATGAATGTATAATTATTAAATTGAAGGTTGATGAATTAGATTGTATTCTGCATTTTAGAGGACAAGTAAAATTTTTGTGATGTTAGCATTTAGCGTACCGCCACCATATTGAATTTTTTTAAATGGCAACGTAGTTTTAGTGATATATCAGAGAAAATCTTATTTAATAATATGACTAATTTAATATGATTCTAATAGTAATATTTTAAACTTCCGCTGGTAGAATGAAATGTAATATATTATACAATTTTTCAATTTTCAAAGATTAATTATATTTTGGAATAAAAAGAAAATGTGTACAGGTAGACTCTCTTACGAAATAGCCCGAGAATAACAACCACAGAGAGGCGACAAAGCCTTTCCCGCAAAAAAAAATGAAATGGGGGTTAAACCGACCAACTGTCATTTCAATTTCAACACGCCTGCCACATAGATAGCTTGCCTGCTTGCCAGTTTAACTAGTTTAGTCGTGATTCTTGCTATTTTCTGATTCGTTTTGTTTGAGTTAAAAATATCTTTTATTTTTATAAAAAAACTGACAAGCCATCTTTCCCGTTATTTGACAATTTCACATTACTCATGCTCGAAAAAAGCGCGGGACTTTTGAATCTAGTAATTTTCCATACGATCTATTTTTCATCTCTCTCTTATCCTCGCCTTATAACTGTTAGGTTGGCAATGACGATTACCCTCTTCGTCGTTACTTTAAACAACTGTCATCTGGTCTATATAGTAGGGGAGCCCGTGACACTTTTTTGGTACACATTTGCACAAGGCGCCGCATTATCTAAACAGACTTTTTTTAAGACGTCGTCATCGAGGACTCCATCGCTCTAGACACAAGTTAAAAATGACAATTATGGATGTGTAATTGGAACTCATAGTAGGAAACAAAATAACAATAAATTTTTAATTTCAACAGGAAGTAGGATTTGCGCATGAGTAATAGATATCATTAATAACGGAATAGGTCTATTAGCATGATTTTTATTTTTTTTTTTAGAAATTCAAGGTCACAAATTTTTTTTTTCCCGAAAAGAGCGCCTTAACGAAATAGCGCGTATCAAATGAGCATCAGTCAAACGCATGAACGAAATAGCGCTTTTTAAAATAGTGTTTGTTAAAATAGGACAAAAAACAACTAATTTTCTAAACCTGTGCGGCCTGGAGTCATTGCAAGTTGATTCACAAAAAAATATAGTTGTACATAAAATGAGAAAATTAAAAAAAAACTTAAGTAATTTACCAAACCTTTGCGTGAGCGCTCGTTTAATTTTAAATAGCTCCAGGCCGCACTGGTTAGGTATTGGGATCTGACATCTGGGAGGAATCTAATCGGTCACGTCACAACATGGTGGACGCAAGCTGCAATAATGTACAGAAATACTGTGATAAGCAGTGAATTAAAAAAAAAATGTTATTAACGTTGGAAGCAATTTGTGAACACGCGGGAAAAAATCTCTCTCAGAGATGTTTTGTAGAGGGTGAAGAGTATTACAAGCGGGACACAGTATAAATTTTGGTAAATTTAATGAAATAAGTAGTGGCTCTGATACTCATGTGAAAGCCTTCTGTTTGCAAATGTCACATTTAAGAGAGAAACCCCATGAAATAAACATTATTATCAATTCGACTGGCAAGATTTTAAAGTGCAAGTGTTCTTGTAAGGCTGGTTTAAGGAGGTCCTTTCGCCACCAATGTTAAATAAAAAATATTAGATTATGACTAAAATTAATTATTTTCTAATA